TGGACATCAATTTGTACTGGTGCTCGACAGGACACGCTCACCTCCGTTCCTCAGGAGGGTTACAATCTCCCGTTGTAAATGTTTATTAGGCAGACGACACCATAGGTGAAAAGTACAACGACCGGGATCATCCAAAAGTCAAGGAACACACTTCCAGGCTAGAATCGCTATCGAGATTTGCGGTCTGGGCCCCTGGCCAAGACGCCAGAAGCCAGTTCCAGTACCAGTAGTCGTCTCTGACCTGACTCCAACAATCAGGACGGAGAATTGACCGTACCCGATGACTGTCCACGAGAAAGAAGGTTGTCGAGATGGACTCTGGAATCGTACAGAGGGCCCTACAAATCAACCCGAAAAGAGCATGCGGATGAGCGATGTTAAATATTTTTAACACCGTGATCTTGTACAGAACTTCTTGTTCTGAAATCGCTCAAATACGGCCCCAGAACATCGTCAAGAAGATCATTATTAACTGAGAATTCGGCCATGCCATTTTAAGGATATGCAAGCGGACAAAGCTCTTCCCGATGCAACACCGACCAAAGTTCCCCTGACGCAGTTCTTTAATTCTTCAGTCAAGGATGACATTAAACACCTCGGAAAGATCGATGTGCTCTGACATTCACGGAGCCATGCAGGTGAGATCACATGCGAGTTTAGCTAAGAAAGTTGAAGGAAAACAGATGAACGTGCTGCAATTTGGGAATTATCTTCAGGTATAAGCTTCTCAAACGCCGACAGTTGTTCTTTCGTCACATCAGAAGCACAAAGGTAAAAGCGAGGATCGCTGTGGAGCTCAATCAACCCGGAGTTAAAAACGAAATCGAAACTTGTAAGAAACGAAAACGGGTGACACCTTTTTTCTCATATCAGTCTTGGACTTGAAGCTTTCAACATGCAAAGCCTTCAGATCGGATGATGATCCGGCCACGCATGAAAACAAGCCACGAGAAGGTAAACTCTGTCGAAGTACATGGAACGAACTACATTTCTCGTCCCAACGATCCCTGCATTGCAGCAATCTAACCTGGGAGGTATAATTGCAACGTGATTCTGCAGCACGTGATAAGACAGCGCAACAGAGCCAGAATCGATCGAACTTATGCTTGATGCCACGTGACGCATGTGTTGCACGTTAATAAACTATTCAAAGATGCGAAAAGTATGGCCATGCAGTCACCGCAGCATCCACTGCCCTCGACCATCCCCAATCACAGTAAACCCGATTTAATAGCCAAAAGCATGGGAATACCCCATGCCATCCAACAAGGATAACAAGTGGCTAGGCTTCTCTGGTTCTACAATGGAAAATCATGGGTATCTCAAACATGAAATGAAATCTCCTAAATCTAGTAGCATCTGAGGATACATCGACCAACTTGATTGATCACTTATTCATATCACTAGCTGATGTATGATGGAAACTTCTTACCTGAAATCAGCTACATAATAGGCTAAAGAAACTAATACTGTGTTAGCCCCCAAGTTATTTGGCTCTAGTTACATTTATATTTGCCACACCTTGAGTCTTATTACCTTACTTGTTGTACTATCAAATGTTATATAATCACCACCTCCAGAAGTATGTAATTTTTTGGATCAGAATTTGTTTGTTTTCTCTGTTCATAACAATACCACTTTCACATAATATCGCCAAAAATGTCTGTCACACATTCAAATGCCCTCGGTACTAGATGTGATTCAAAACTCATGTAATATGCTTGTGAAAGCTTTTCGGTGGAAAAAGATGAAGGATCTTGGATTGAAGATAGATGTTTTGACGAGCAATGACATATAGAAGTGTATTAAACCTCATCTCTCAATAGATTAAAATCATCCATATGCAATATACTTGAAAATACAATTTTCATGAATGCAGAGAAAAAGCACTCATCGTAGGAATTTGAATTTCATCAGAATAATAGAAGACAAGATACTTCAACCCAAATCACATAATTTAATTATTTTTGTCGTACATCATTTTGGAAGCAAAAACTAAGAACTATTTTCTTTATCATATCACCCCTTAAAGTTCAAAATTTCAATACTCAAGAGCAAAATATAAAACTCAAGAGTCTACTGATCAAAAGATTGTATAATGTGATAAACAATGTAAAAAATTCAACATATTGTTTACATCATCCTGTGAAGAGAGACACACAGATTATCACATCAAAAGAATGGAAAACAAAGTTTATTATGTGCCATGAAGAACATGCCTGCCTCCAAAATATGATATTGTCAACCAAGACTAACTAAGTTTTGCAGAATCCTGGCTCATCCTTGTTAAAAGCCAAGTTAATTTTTTTGGAAGCAAATGAGATTCGTAAAACAATCTGAAATTCCAAATAGCTTACTAGAGATACTCAACATTCTCAAATATAAATTCAAAATCCATATTATTTTCATTTTTCATATAAGTGATACAATCTAGGTTAAAACCTCCCTCAATGAAGTCCAATGCTCAACAATATTGATTTATAACCTTCTAACTTAACAAGTCCAGATTGATGTGAAAATAGATGATGTGAAAAGTGTGCAATTTTTTGCATGAACAGCCAAAACTTACAGATTGTAATTTACTATACTTGATATCAACTTGTCTTCTATGCTTACTTTATTTTTCCATTACAAGATGCAACCACCACCTGACTAACTAACTATAATGTTTCACCCCTCAAAGTTAATCACATCAACGAAAACAACTTTTGAAAATCACTAGGGAAATCACTTCAAAGCAATATTAAATTCGTTCATTTTTTTATTCTAGACCATAAGTTTAAGGATGGATGTGGATTTAGGCATCTAGAAAATACTTTCTATCAGAAGAAAATCCCCCAAGCTGGTACTTGCTTGGTTAAAATGTGGTCTACTTATTATGGATGGACATAGACCCTATAAATAAATTATTTTCTAGAGTATTACTGCCCATAAAAAATATAAGAGTGCTCGTGTAACATTGCTATATTCTGGATTCTATATTAATCCCACACCGTTCTCAATGAAACTGAAAGAAAAATTATTATGTGGCTAATCTAGTGATGTGTACATATTTAACCAGAGAATTATACATAGAGTATAATACAGTATAACATATGGCTTCAAAAACCCATCTATATTTTACTATATTAAATTGAGTTTAGGGGTTATAGGGGTTTCATGAATTTTAAGAAGATTGTGAATGAATTTTATGAAAATTTTCAAAATGATCGAGAGTAATTTACGATGCTAGGCTATCACTATATGTCATTATAGTCATGCTTTTGAGGCTACTGCAAAAATACACAAAATCGCAATCCTCACAGTTCACAATCTCACTGATACAATTATAGGCAAAAGTCAACTACTTCAGATCCGTGGGGATTTCGCTCGCATTACCTTTCACAATGCTCTCTCTAGAATCTCCACCTTCGACCTCTACAGTGCCCTCTGTAGAATTTGCAACTTCTAACCCCACAAAATCGCTAGAGTTTGCAATCTCCCATTTTCATGGTTAATTAAGGGGGGAAATTGACTAATTCAAATTAACCCACATTGTGTGGATTTCACACGCGTCACCTTTCATAGTGCTTTATGTAAAATCTGTACCTTTGAGTTTGTTCCTTTGGTGCTTGTGAAGTTAGAGACGTATCGAGATCAGAGGACAATTTAGCATCTAATCCGATAGATCACTATACATATTCATTGTATATAATATAGTATTAAATTCATCAAATTTTGAAGCTGAGTATTATACATAACCCTAGGCTAATCTCGACCTGTAACATTATAGCTCACACCTATTGCTCCTGCAGTATGAAACCGTCATATGTTTATAACGTCCTACCGTAAAGCTCAAACCATATTGGAATAAAGAGAAACACATTATATACTAGCTAGTCTAGTCTATTTGATCCCCCACATTTATCTAGAGTGGTAATAATCTTCAAAATTTTCCAAGTAGGTCACGAACTTTTTTTTAACAAGGTGTGAAGAAGCAATAACAAATTTCATACGAAAGACTCGAAGAAAATTACTTAAACAAACATATGTTTTTCTGAAACATTATTCTCTATACAATTTTCCAAACTTCCGTTTAACCCTCAAAATGAAAGAAAAGTAATCCCGGGCCTAAACTCATTCATGGTCTCTCTCTCGTTCCTCGTCCCGCATCCCATGTGAAAGTATATAATGGGGAAGTAGTCGAGTCTTCACGTTGTGAGCATCAGGGAGATAACCAAGGACATGACCATCTGAAGAAGTTGTAAGACATGGCCTCGCAGAAGTCTCAGATCACCAGATTGAGAAATAATATTGCTCCTGATCGTAGAGGTTAGCTCTCCTAACACGCGTCAGCTTTTATCTCGAAATGTGACTCTGTTTGTGACTTCTTGCGGCGACTGCCAGCAAATTATGAAGGAGTACCGTGGTCTCAACCCACGGGCAACCAGAAGGGGTTGAACTGGACTTGTTTCTCGAGCTCTGACTGACTGACTGAGCGAGAGGAGGCAACCAACACAAAGCGCTAACTTTTTACCAAGAGGCAAAAATTTACGGCCAGTTTCCCACAAAGGAGATATTCGCACAAGGTCGGATGGTCACATCACCACAGCCTATTGAGAATTGCAGTGTGAGCCCCTCGGTCGCTGGACTGCAGTTAGCCTCATCTCTCTCTCTCTCAATCCACTCCATCCTCCCTCTACAATGTATGCAGAAGTTTTCACTGCTGCTGGGCGGGGGCCTGATCTGTCCCCACCTCACTGTGCAACTCGATTTTCTTCGCTTTCTGACATCTTTTTGATACTAGCGCACTCTAGTGATTTTGCAGAGCATTCTTTATTCGCCAACAATATCCTTAAATTCTGCAGACACTTACTTCAATCATTTGCGGTCTTGACTGAAGTCTACGACGAGCAACGACATTTCCCATGAGAGTGTTGGAGAATTCGAGCGAGCGAGCGTCCAATCGATTTACCATTATTATGATTATCAGTACTGGACCGCTGGCTGGAGATTTCCAGCTCGCAGCAGACCGTGGACAACAATGAGTGTCACCACCAGACAGCATAGTGGACGTGTATCACTCACATTCACGTCAGCCAAGTGCTAACGACGTGTGCCATCTAGTGGGAACAGGTAAAATGCGATTGTGATTGTGTCATCGCCCAGTGTTCGACGTCACTGTCGTGAAAGTGCAGAGCAGCAATATTCCATGTACATGGCCTAAGGATCTGCCAGAATCGTTTTATCGATATGCCTTGCTGGCCTATTGTTTGACAATTCGAAAGTGATATGGCCATACATACATGCTTTGCACTAACTGCAAACTTCTATTAAATATACAAGGAGTTTTATTTAAAATGTACAAGAAGAGGTTCTGTAAACTTGGGTGAGCTAAGTACGAAGACTGGAAATTTCCTTCAGAGCTGCTGTTGGTCTCTGCGAATTATCTCTAGTGACCACTCGAATTCGCACTCCCTTTCCGCAAAGCTGTATACAATCAACTGAAGCAAATGACTTCTAAAGCGATATATTCTATTCTCCGAGCCTCAAGCTCCATCTGCTCCGTGTAACTTTGTCCATCGTACTGATCGAAGCCGGCACCCAATTCGATGCTAACTTCGAGATGTGTGGAGTTCCTGCCTATACTTGTGAGTCTGAATCACCTAGTGTTGCCAGGCGCCCGCCGGTCACCGCACAGCTTTCGATGGTGTACGTGCTGTGGAGGATATTCACCAACTCATCATTCCGTATGATCGAAGGCCATTCGAGTGACGATCAAGTGATGGTGATCAGAAACGTGCGTATCGGGATTAAAAAAGTAGAACTTAACTAAAGGGCCAATCAAATTTCACTTCTAAAACTCTTCGTGCAGATCTCAGGAGGTATGAGATGGTACGAAATTCGTCGGCCCCAGAACACCCTCCACGCAAATTGTGAGAGAATCCTCGACCAGCTGTACGTGCAAACCTGCCATAATTGTGCTGATTACGATGAATGGGCGGCGTTGGGAGAGCTCCATACATTTCTCCAGTGGCTCAGAGGCTTGCTGAAGAGTCTATCGGCGTTCTCGTAGTTGATCAAATGTCTCTTGTCGAGGCTGAGAGGGAAATCGTCGAGCTGGGCTGTTTCCTGCTCGATGACGAAGTTGGGAGCGAACGGGAAGTCGGATCCGAAGGTCATGTGGTCGTAGGTGAGGAAGGCGATCGTGCTGGGCAGAGCCGAAGGGCTGGACGATAAGGCCGTGTCGGCATAGAAAGTTCGCAGCTCTTTGAGGAGACTCTCGGTGGACTCCTTGGTCACCACATTCAAAGCCCCTCCCATCCGATAACCAGCGAAAGGCATGAACCCACCAGAATGAGCCAGGATCCAGTGGAGGTTGGGATACCGTCCCGTCACATTATTCAGAACCAAAGATGCCGCAGCCCTGGTGGTGTCGAGCAGGAAGTCTATCACGAATTGCGGGACTCCTTCTGTGGCAGCCCCCGGCACAGTGTTGGGATGGATGAACACGGTGGTCTCTCTGGAATTGAGCACCTCCATGAGCGGATCAAATTTCTTGTGTCCCAGATACTCGCCCTCGGAATTCGCCAGAAGCACCACCCCCGCAGCCTTCAATGTGTCTAGAGCGTATATGGCCTCGTCGATGGAGCCCTCGAGGTCTGGTAGAGTGAGCGTGGCGAAGAACTGGAATCGGCCTGGATAAGTGACGGTCAGCATGTGCGCGTACTCATTCAGCTCCCGAGCTAGCTTCCTGGCCTGTAGGACGTCGAACCCAGGCAAGCGAGCTCCAGGTGTGGACACGGATAGAATGGAAGTTTCGATTTTCAGACGATTCATCAGCTGCAGGTGGTCCGACACATTCCATCTCGGAACCTCCCTACCTCCAGCATTGAGGTTCATGGACTTCAGAGTGTCGAAGTAGAATGGAGGGACGAAGTGGGCGTGCGTGTCTATCCTCCTGAACGACGCAAATTCTCTAGAGTATCTACCGGCCTCCACTATGGAAGGACCCGAAGAGCTCGAGAACGGAATCACAGCAAGCTTCCAGCCCAGGACCATTAGCAGAACCGGCAGCACAAATTTCGAGCCGAAATTCTTCAAGCCCGAGGTCTCCTTGTTTGAAGTACCGATGGATTCCGCCATTGCTGTATCTTTCTCAGTGATTTCAGTACAACACAGCCCGATATGAGGTCTACAATGGTTTTTAAAATTTCCACATTTGCAGCTCCACCTGCGACAATAATGTGCAGTGAGTGACGATGCACTGAATCGTCAAACTGCAGACCTCTTGAGCCAAGTTACGTGTGATCTGCCGATTGGTACGAGATGAAAGAGCTCAGGTGAGATTGACAATAACTACAGCGCATTCTCCAGCTTTATACGTGGTGGAATTCTGGCTGAGATCAAAAGGCACCAAAACTGAAGGTAGGCGGGATTCACGTGAACCAGTGAATTGTCTCACGCACAAGCTGTAAGTCTGCCTGAGACATCTCTAGCCGCAGAGCCTGAGGTGGAGAGAACTCCTCCTTCTCCACGAAACAGCTCCTTTCACTCAGACTTGGCTTACTCGAGCTGGAGGGCCACTCCGACAACGAGTCCCAGACGCGAGGGACCAAAAGCTTGTCCTAGCAGCACATGAGCATGAGGTGAGAGTCACGTATTAGGGTGACAGTATAAAGCTCACACTCCAACTGTTCGTCCTTGAGGTCGCTAGTACACGTCCATCTCCAGCCTTCATTTCACACCAGCTGCAGATTTGAGGTCTTGCTCTGCGCTTGGCGAAGAACCAGGTGCTAAAAAGGCATCTGTTCCCCGACGTAAAATGCTCACCCCATTTCGATTCCTGTCTCGGCAGCCAAATCTATCAGGACTATCAGACCGACCAGCCACTCTTTACAGTCACGACGGCATCAGCCCGAGGTCTTCTGCTAAATTCTTCCCGGCAATCGCGAGCTAGACCTAACTTGCCCACAATCAGAAACGCTTCGATCACGCGTCGGTTGAAGTCTCCTCGTACATGTTGACGATTCTCGAGGAATAAGGACCGGAAAAGGTTGGCCAGATTAAGCAGGTCTTTGTCCTCAGAATGTATCCAGCCACTCCCGAGCCAGACTATATCAAAGAAAGCATCACGAATAATAATCTCAACATTAACTCGTAATTTCTCCATTTCCCTTTCTCCATTTCGCGGAGCACTCTGCGATCTCAGTTGATTGAAAACCTGAGCCCTGTGAAAAGTAAATGTGATATGGTAACTGATAAAGTTGCATGATCTCCATACGAATTACCAATCCAGAATCTGTCAGCGCGGCTATTCCCTGTGAATCGAACATCCACTGGAACATAAATAAGGTCGTGGCACCTTGCGCGGCACACGCCAGGAAGATACAAACCGGCAAAGGGAGTGCAGGGGAGGTGGCACATTTAGGATATGTTGGGGGCATTTCCAACCGTCCTCCATCTATGTCCAGCCGTTGTCGCATTGCTGTAGCCTCGATAATACAGGGCTTTAGGCTGGCCAATGGTGGCACAGTTTTATTTAGCTAGAACCAAATGCCCTCCACAATACGCACACTGTTAGAACTGTCGATAATATGCAAGTTCAGGTGTGTACAGAAGAAGATGGGAAAAGTGGAATAAATAAAGTGGAAATGGTGGTTTGTGTTTCTTGTAGACACACATGTCCGATCGTGCTCAACGGATTTAATGCGGTGTTTTGGATTATGCTTTCTGAAGGACTGCAGTGAGTGAAACCAAGCAATATTGCAAGAAGGACAAGAAAAAGGACTCCAATTAGTTAGTTTTGATTTGGTTGTTTCCTTTCCACGATATAGCCCCCACTTATGCTATGACTCTCTTGTGTGGCTGTACTAAGTTACTTCTAGTGCAGGATAGCAGACTTGACTTGCAACCACACATTTGCCTGAGTTTAAGCTGAGATCTGGGCCTTTGAGACATGGCGTCAGATTTACACCTATGGGAGACAAAAAGTCAATTTTTAACAAAAATACTCACATGCAGTTAATCTCATGCAAGTCTCAAGCCATAACCTAAATATCTTATAATTTTCATTCATTCTAAGTGGATTCAGTCATTCAGTTGTCAACATCTCTTGGTCTGTTCTTTTGCTTTTGCAAAGGTGGCATTGTAGTTAGGTTAAATCAGATGTCATAAGTAAAAAGTGATCTTAAACAATAAATAGACCTTTACAGACGTTTTGGCTATATGCCTTGTTGTTGACTTGTGTTGGAACGTACAAAAAGGTTGTCATTCCAGACCGTACATGTGACATATCATGGTTCGATGACTACACATACTTCTATACGTGCAGCAAGGCGAATGGTCTCCAAGTATACTAGTATCCAAATTTTTTAAATTTATGTTATTTTGTATTTTATATATATTTGAAGGTATAAGAAATCAGCAATTCCTATGAGAAAATCTTATAGTTTATTATGTTAATTTATATGAAATAGTACATTTTGAATTTATTCTTTAGTATAATTTAGTAATGTGTCTTCGTTGTTTTATGAAAACTACTAGTTAACACAATAAATATGAGAAAAATCACATCAGCTAATAATTCAAATTGATGATAATTTATTTTATGTCTACGTCACTTGTAAGTAACATGACCTTGATATTTGGAATTCTTCGCTACAAAAAAATTTCGCTCATTATGTCGCTAAGTATCCTAGCCTCATATTACATGTTGCAGTTAATCTATGTCTTGACTTAATAGTATAACTCCAAATTTTGTTAAATTACATTTAGGTTGCTTGTTTCAAGATTGCATTATGAGATGGAAACCCAATAATAAGGTGTTATATTTTGTGATGCTTCCTTGTATATTTGAAAGAACCAATTATCAGTGTTGACTATCTAGGTCCGTTGATACTCCCATAATAGGAGTATGCTTTATGTTATGATCCTTTAATTCCCATGGAAAAAAGTCTTGCTAAGTATAAACTCTTTCAAACTCAAATTAAAATTTACACTTTCATGCATGCAAACATGGTGTATAGTTATATTGTTATATTGTTATATAGATGCACTATGATGGCAATGCATCATGCAGTCCTTACAAAAAGACCTCAAAAGACGAAGATTGCTTTCTACACTTGCACATTATGGCCAAATGAATAACTAATGACATATCAAAATGAGAAACGAAGTATGGAAACCACCAAGCCCAACACCTACAAAAGTGTATGGGGGTGCAAAGCTCCATAACAGGTAGATCTAGACTTCAAAGTAGTTGGCAATGAAACTGGATCGCTAACTAGAGGACCTTATGATGACAGCTAAGTCCCATGATTTACAATATTGACAAGGACATGGAGAGTTTGTGGTTTCTTGCAGAAACCACTCGATAGAGTTTATAATGGTCATCATATTTTATATTTCGATAAAACTTTCTAGGATGAAGTCAATCCTTTATATTGTTCTTTCCAGAGTTGAATGTCTGCATCCAACTGGTTGTCACGCCCCTTAATCATAGAATGTTTCCTCGTAGTAGAAAACAGGCCGGTGTGTATATATTGGGTCAAGTTGTCGAAGGACACCAAGGTCGCCTGATGTGTTCAAGGCTAGCGCAAAATTTCTCACATATTGAAAGGCAATATAACTTCGGCTTTTAAATGCTTTAGTTGCATGTAAATGTCTTCTTGTCGGCGATAACTCGTCCTTATAAAGGGTAAGCCATGCAACTGCTTCAGTCTATAGTACGTTTGTGGATATGGAATGAATGCACGTGTTCGAGTATCACTGTAATAATGAAGGCAATTCCACAAAAATACTCCGAGGCCTTTGAAATTTTGCTAGAGATCATTACGAACATGCATGCTCCCAATGATTCACATATCGCAATATCATCCAACGTTGGTACATATTGTCTTCTTGAACTTGCTGCCCCATGTTAGAACGTCATACGGCAGCTGGAGGCCAGCTCTTGACTTAAAATTACTCTCAATGATTTTATGTGCTTGAAGACCCGGCCTTTCTTTGCAAAATGTATGATTGAGACTCTGAAATTATGTTGAGCATTTGCGAGAAGACGGCGCCTTCTTTTATATGCTATTTAAGAGTATGTTGGAATAAACCACACATTCCTCTGTTGTAACTAAAAGTTTACACGTGCATCCATCACGAGATCGCCATCTAAACCCGTGCTCTACAATCCCACAGGTCACTTCTTTCTTCACTGCAACCTGAAATTATCCACCCGGATAGGGTAGGTACAAGGTCGCTGAAATCATCCATGCTCTTCAGCCCTATCGAAATATATAACTTTATTCACCACAAGATTAAGACGTTTGGCACATGATGGGTGCAGAAAGTGCAATATTATTGGTTATCACTTTTGCAACGTGGGGTTATATTTTCACTAATAATGTAGAACAACACTTTAGTTAAATTTTTTGTTTCAATTTTGACACCGACATGTAATAATATGAAAAATTATAAACACTTTTGGTTATTTTCATTGTTCAAAATTTCTAAAGTAAGTCTATCCGTATTCAAAATTTAGGTCAATCTCTTCAATTCCATGTGCTGTTCCATAGGATCTAATTGGTGAATCCTGTCACCAGAATAAAATGGTAGTGGTATTTCTTCAATTTTGGATGTCTGATAGATAGCTTCTTATGTGCGGTAGTTATGATTGATGTTAATGAGAGGAGTTAAAAGATAAAATGACAGTTTTTTTATATTATTCAAGTGTGTGGGTTAAATTTTTTTCCCTTGCATATGATCGGGTGTGTGTGTATATATATATAATACATCATATCAAACTTGTTATTTTATGTCAAATTTACTATAAATAGAGATTAGAATGTGATTGTATAGATATTTTCAATTGAAAAATTGGAATATATATGATTAAACACTTGGGAAGATATATAAAAACTTTCATTTTGGAGATCACTTTTTGTTGATACATTTTGGGTATAATAAAGTAATCATGAAATCAATAAGCATCTTAATCACATATAAAGCTCTTGATATAAAGCTCTTGAAAAACTCAATTGATTTTAAATGCATAAGTTCTATATCAATAGATTTTGCAGATATTTATTAATAGAATATTTGAATTGCAAGAGCCTTATGTACGGATATTAGTATTGTATTTTTTATTTTAAAATTTATTTTACTGCAAATTTAATCTAGACACAAGTATTAGATATAGGTAAAAGTACAAACAAAATATGATTTTAGTATGTAAATACTTAAAAATTATACACATTTTTGTCTATGAAAATATTTTCATCCTAAAAGATACGACTCTAAAATTTTTAAGAAGTCTTTCAAAACATCTATTGCGTATTGAAATTTTTAATTTTTTAATTCAACTGAGAAAAATGATTGTATTCAACTCAAATTCATCTTGTATTTTATTTATTTATGTCTTTAATGCAATTTAGATGTTATTTTACTTTATTTTTCATGGACATATATCTGTATGATTAGCAGTGTGGGGCCTATGTTATTGATATTGTTTTGATGCTGGATTGTTCTTACTAGTCATCAAGTGTGTTTGATCAGCATCTAGGAGAAAACAAAGATGCGCTTGGAGACCTATTAAATTATTATGAAAGAGATCATTCTCTAACTCTAACCAAGAGTCTTCATATGAGGTACAACTCTCATCTGATAATGGTAAATGGTAAATGAAGGTTTCCTTTTAAATATTGCAGGACCGTATTTTCAAAATGTGGAATCTTCGTGTTATTGTGACATGGGGTTGCGATTACACCAATTGTTGACATATACAACGGTCTGATCAAGGTCCAAAAGTCACATGCCACAGGTCTTAGTCAAACAGTCTTCGGATAGTAGCCAGCTGGCTCACTGTGAGGATAGGATCACTTAACAGGGAAGGGGCATATGCTTCTAATGAAGGCACGGAGGAAAAACATTGTAAACATTACAAATTTATGTTCCATTTTCAGAGCTTTTACCGACTTAGATCACTTACACTCGACCAACACCGACATAGATCATTTACAGTCGACCGACCTATGGACCAGCACATGAAAGTGAAGAGATTCAAATAAATAGAAAATACGGATTGAGGATTT